TGGAATATTTAACATATTTATTTACGCAAGATGTATCTAAATTTTAAATTTATTTTCTTCTTAAAGATCTGTTCTTTTGCAACTTCACTATTTTTTTTCTGCAAAATGAGTTTTCAAAACTTTAAATTTCATAAATTTAAACTATAGAGGCTTTGTTAAATATCGTCATTATAAATAAAAAGAGCAGAATAACTACAATTTTGTAGCGTTATATCAAATTCTGATGAATTTCTTATTTCCTTATATTGGAAAATACTGGTTTAGGATAATGCAAATGTATCAAATGAACATGGAAATTTACTCTGTTCCGTTGATGTTGGGGGACTAAATTAGAGATGGTTTGGTGATAGAAACAAGCTGTACGCATTAAACGGACCACTGACACTATGTATTTTTGGTAGGTAGATGTACACGATGTGTTTCGAGATACATGGGCCATAAAATAACCGCGAAACGAGAAAGCGCTCTGATGGCTTAAAAATTGCTGGTTGCTGTTGTATTCATATTGGCATCATAACTTCAGTCTATGAAAAAGTGCATCAATTTACGCATACAAAAGCCAGTATTCATTCTGATAATTCCCAGTCATAATCAGATATATAATTTACACACCAATTTCTTAATGAACTTTTACGATGATCTGCATGTATTATATTTAGGCATAAATAGAACACAACACGTACCTTATAAGTTTTCTCTTGAAGAATTCTTCCTATAATAAATATATATTTTATACATAATATTTTAATATAAATTTTAAATATACAAATACCTGATTTTTTGTTTCATTATAAATTTTTGACAATAATTATAAAGAATTCATATATATAATTGTACAGAATTATTTCATAAGTTCTCTTTTTTATACATATTATTTAAGAAATTACTTAAGAAATTATTTAAGATATTAAAATATTTAAAAAATACTTGCTTCTTGAGGGAGAATTTCTAATTTAATATTATTATAATAATTAAAACTCATGTAATGACTTTGTAGTTAAAAGTACTGTATATTCAAACTATTGATCGGCAATGAAAAAACTTATAAAATTACCATCAAACATCTTTTCTCGCGCTTAAGATGCTTTAAAATGCTTTTTCCTCGCTGTATAGAATTGTATTAATTTATTATTTATTTTCTATCAGCGAAACATTTATTATTTTCCAATTAATTAATAGCTGATTAAGCGTTAAATTTAAATTAATTAAACGCAGTTTTTGCGTCTGGACCATCAAACAGGGCAATATATTAGGCAGTTGATTATTCCTCGGTCTAGCGACAGGAAAACGGAGGATGATCCTTCTCCATACATTCGTTTTATGGTAAGTCTTAAGTACCAACAATAACAGCATACAAGGCTGACGTTTGCCTGATACGTTCCATTCACAGCGAGGGATTTCGCATAATGACCGAAGGAATATTATTGTTATTGCTGCGACACGGACGCACAAAATCCCGGATTCTGTGGTAGGGATGTGGAGGATTGCGGGGAACGAAGTCGGTTTAGTTCCCGCTGATAACTAAGCGCTAAGGATAACAAACCTTCTGATCGAAGTTTCAAACCGCAGAACTCAGAGTATACTTTGGAAAAAATATGAAAAATTTACATGCACATACTATAATGTGCCTTTTAATTTTTAAATTATATTAAAATATTCGAATTTTTAATTATTATAATAATAATTAAATTAGACATTGAAAAAGCAGATATTTTTTAAAATATTTCAATATCTTAAATCTTTTAAATAATATGTATATAAAAAAAAAATTTTACAAGATAATTCTTTATATATAATTTTATGTATATGAATTCTTTTTAATTGTCAAAAAGAATATTTTATTTCAATTAATTTAGATTTACCCACACATTTCATACACAACATACATATAAATGTATATGCATGCATTTATATGTACATGAAAATTAAAAAAAAAGAGAATTTTAAACTAATATTTATATATTTAGATATATTTAAATATATTTTTGATATGAGAAATCTCAGATGTATCCTATATAAATCTACTTTCATAAATAACACAAAAACGGAGAAAATTAAAATAACAGATTAACTTTAATAAGTCATAATCCTGTGATAATTACGTAGACAGTTCGCACATTGTTATTATTCAGCAAATTGCAAACTTCTATACGAGTTTTTAATTGTGCATTTTTCATAACTTTCTCTCGGAAGCGATCAATGCACAATTCTTCCTGCATTAACGCTCATATATTTATTTTGTATATATTTTGTTGATATTTGTCGTTTTAATTTCGTTAATAAACTAGTGTGCATAGCAAAAAGAACATCATCTGGCGCAAAATATACCGAAGATGAAGGTTTAAAGGCACGGAAGGAAAAGTGAGGTAGATGGCACAGGAAGGCCGCAACAAAAGTCAAAAGCATGAAAGTGGACCGCAAGAAACATCCCCGCGGTCATGCCGTGACTTTGCGTGAATTTCTCCTTGTGCCGGTTCAGCCTTCCGGTATAGCATTTCCGGTTGGTGCGAAAAAATAAAACGCGGATATATCGTAAGGACGAAAAAGAAGAGGTGATATGTTCCCATTAATTTTCGTTAATCACACTGCAAGTCTTCTCAATTTTTTAAATTAAATTAAATTGATCGATAAAATTGCTCCGTAAAATAATTTCATATTATTTCTAAATTTGATTTACAAAGTAGACTCAAATTATGTTTCAATAAAAAGTAGATGTAAACTCTGTTTAAAAAAAATTTAATACATAGAAAACTATTTATTAGAAACTCTTCTCTTTTTTTTCTATTTTTTTTTTCTATAAATGATTTAAATGTAACGTTATTTAATTATTATATATTAATTTCCATATTGAAGTAATAAATCAATTAACATTATCTTTATTACTGTAAAATTAATTAGCATTATTACATTACTAATAAAATTTATTATTGAACAGTTGAATTATTACGATAAACGCACAGATTTTTTTATCAGCACATAATTTATCGTTGATATTTTAAATAATATTTAAATAAAATCGATAATAGTTATTAACGGTATTAAACAATTAAGTCTCCAGGCAACATAGTCGACGCTATTGTTCAGATTTATCGTGTATAATTTTATCCATACTTTTATGTTTATATTGCAAATGCACATGCAGCGAAGCAAAGGGAGTAAAGCGCGCGCAGACGACTCTTAAATTCTCGCCGATATGAATTTTTAATTTTCCTGTACTTTACGACTGGTCATTAAAATATGGCAGAGGAAGATAATAGGGGGTGAGAAAAAGAGCGGAAGCCGCGGCCTCGAAGGCGGAAGCGCAGAAGAAAGCGAATGTATAGAGCCTCGGGGAATCCCCGACGGAGTTATATTTTTCTCCAAGAGCACTTCTCCGACTACGTAGCGCGATTGCTCTGAGATATGCGATTACGCGAATTTATTGGTGTATAATACCTCGCGGGTTAGAAGAAAAGAGAGGAAGAATCGATCCGCCGCTTATACACAAATTCGAAATCGATACACGGGACTTATTTCGCCACTGGGTTTTCCCCTGGAGCAATTACTCCATTGAACAAAACCGATCTACGAAAAATTGTTTCGCTAAATTACTAATCAAAAATATGCAGTAAAGTATTTTTCTATAAAATATTTTAATATTTAATATAATACGATATTAATCTTGTATCAAATATAAGAAAGAGCGAGATAAAATTATTAGCAGCAAACATTATTTATTAAAATTATTCATAATTATTCAAACATTAAAAATTATAAATTCCAAAAAATTTCAAATATTGGAGTTCTAATCTATCGTCCTCTCTTATCTACCGCCTTCGTTCGCATTATATCTACTCTTCTCCCTATTCCATACAATAGAAAGAATCTTCTTCTATCTGCACAACTCGTGTTGATCTACTATTATATCAAGAACCACCAAAAATAGAATCTATATTTGACCAGACTATACAAAGACACCCTATATAAAGAAATACAAACTCTTGTATATATATATTTGTGCGCGCTTTTGTATTCTGTTTATTATGCACATGAAATAGAATAGAATCCCAACGTACCAAGAAAAGCGAGAAAACGTATGTAAACTGAATTCTTTGCTATGTGAACCTGGCAACCGACTTTTAATAAATTAATTTTTTAATATAGAAAATGGTAACATTTTGTTTGTACTTTCATCAGTTGAAAAATTTAAAAATTAAAAATGACCAGCGCCCAACATTAAGATATCAAACTGCGTTTGCGGTCTTTTTTAGAATTATTTGTAGTTGTTTGTAGTAATTATGCTTTTATTTGTAGTTGCACGGTTTAGAAATTGAAATTGTTCAAACAAATTGTCAAGATGAGTGACTTTGTTAATTTTAAACATTTTTCAAATCTGCTTTTTCAGATGATTCAGACTCGTTCGTATAATTGTTTGTAACAATTGCAATCAAAATTTATATTGATATAAAAAATTACAAACGAGTCTGAATAACTGAAAAAAAAAGATTTAAAAAATTTTTTAAATTTACAAAGTTGAATCTTGACCATTTAAACAATTGAAATTTCTAAACTGTGCAACTATAAACGAAACGAAAAGCACTACAAATTACTACAATGATTCTAAACAAGACTGCGCAAACAGATTTGAGATATCTCAATATCAAGTTTGAATCATTTGTAATTAAATGTTATAATTAATTTATAAAGTAATTAATTAATCAGCATCTCTGATACGTATTACATATTTTATTCTTGAGGTGCGATAAATAAAAAATGAATAAGATTCATGATCAAACTCAAATATTTCTGTAATGTAACAAAATATATATTGCTAAATAATAAATTTATTTCTTGTATAATATTATCTCACATAACATTATCTCAATTAATTTAATATATTATATAAAATATATTTTAATATATCATTGATTGAAATAGCCAATATCGCTAACTAATGATTCCATTAAAGAAAGTATATTCTTTATTAATACATTATGATCACAGTTTGTAAATTTACTTACATTCTCCTCATTAATGACATTATTCCTTCAATGTCCTGCTCCGACAAACATTGCAATTGTCCAATTGTCCATCGAAGTGCCCAATTGTTCAATTAATTTCAACTGAAAAAGATTTATATTAATAGTTCGATCATAACATATTTAAGTGTGTATAATTATAATTTTTAGAAATATTTTATAATCAAGAAAAACATCCTCTATTGTACATTTGTATATTTATATCATGAACTTGTTTACAACATATTAATACTCACTGGTTCGTAACTTCTTTTATGCAACTTATGCATAACTCAAGTTGATACAAACACTCACACGATTACGAATACGATCACGAAAATCACTTCCGACATTTACTAGAATTTTACATTAATGGTATGTGTACATTTGCAACACAATATCTTATGACGAGTCACGAATACCGAAAACGAACCCGAGAAATCAAAACGTCCATCATGAAATACAAGATATTTCACACGCGAAACATAAAAACGCAATATTTATTCGCCTGCTAATTAATTGACGCGTATTTTAATCTTAAAAAAGCATCATAACAAATCGACAAAAAGACACCGTACCTCCTTCTTTAATCTCTCAACATTCGTCGTAAATTACCTCATCCTTATTGTTCCGCGTCTCTCGTATGCAAAATAACGCGTACATAACTAAATACTACTCATTTCGAATGAACGCACTCGCACCCGCAACTCCCGATGTTTATTTATCCGACACTGCGAACAAGCCGCGGCCGAGTATCATGTTTACGCGGGAATTCGGAGCCAAGGGCGCGCGAGTCAACACGAAGACGCACGAAGCGCGAGAGCGCGCGCGACGAGCGATCGACCGCGATCAAAATTATTGACATATAGGCACAGTCAGCTGTTAGTTGTCAGTCGACACCACGTCTCCCATCGATCCGACCGTCGTAAATAGTTCCGCGCTAAACTCTACAGTGAACTACGGCTCCTGGAAGATTACATCGTTTGCGTACGTATCACATATATGTATATTTATATACCTATGTATTTTGTGCACCGTTTCGGATTTTCTCGGCGGCGTCGTGTCCGATTCCGTTCCGCGTTCCTTCCATCTCAATGGTCGTGAAGTTGCGTGCACGCGGAGGACTCTGCTGAGCGAGGTATTCTCTCATTTCGAGTGTGTGCGTGTCTAGAAAAGCATCGTATTGACGACGGACGGTGAGTCCTAATTAATATGTACGCGATGACGTATGTATAATTACGATTCGATTCGCGATTAGTAGGCTAATATTCGATTATTGTCGGCTCGCGCTTCTAGGAGTTACCGCCGTAGTCCGATTCCGTTTGTTCCTCCGTTCGTTCTTCGTGCTCGATACGTCAGTGCGACGTCATCGCAAACGCGCGGCAGTATCTTAGCAACAGAGTTTATTTATTCTCGGATTCGCGCGCGAATAGATGCGTATGTTGAGTTGACTTTTTTGGACGGAGTATTAATTAAGAGATATCGGGCAATCTTGGATGCTCCTTTCGAGTCGAATCGCAATTGAGAGAATTAAGGACAATTTGCGATTATACGAGCTGCATTTCAGAAGCGTGATCATGTTTAATTGAAACGATCGCGACGCGACAAAGGTACAGTAAATAATTAATAAAATGTGATCTATATGCCTTTTTCGGGAGTATGTATTAATTAGTGTGTGTAATTATTAACGAAAATCAGGTTGGATGGAAATGATAGATATGAATGTGAGTTTATTATTATTATATACATAAATGACTAAATTATTATTTATTGCTGATAATTTCATATTATAATATATATAATAATGTGCAGCGATTAAAAAATGCATATTAATATAAAAAAGAGAAAGAAATAATGAGAAAGAGAAAAAATGTAGACAAGAATTTTATATGATTTCCATTAAAAAAAATTATATTCGAAAAAAGGCATTGTTTCTAAAAAAAGTCTTTTATTTTGCAGATTAACACATCGTGATTATACTCTTGAATTGGCAATTAATACGAGTTTATGTGGTGAGTTTATTATATTTATTATACATAATTGTGATGACTAAATACTAAATCATTATTTATTTCTGATGATCTCGTATTATAACAATAATATACAGCAATTAAAAAATACATATTGATATAAAAAAAGAAAAAGAAATACAGATAGAAATTTTATGGTTTCCATTAAAAAAATTTAAAATAATTATATTTGAAAAGAGGCAATGTGTAAAATATTATGTTTTTTTTCGCAGATTTAACATTGTGATTATACACTTGGATTGGCGATGGACACAAGTCTATGTGGTGAGTTTATTATATTTATTACATATGGTTGTGATGACTAAATCATTATTTTCTGGTAATCATATTATAATAATAATATGCAATGATTAATAAATATGTACTGATATAAAAGGGAGCAAAAATTCAGGTGAGGGAAGAAATATAGGCAGAAAAATGATAAGCACAGCATCATATTTCATATTTTCGTAAGAAAATTTAAGAAAATTATATTTGAAAATGGCAATGTTGTAAAAAATAGCAGCATTTTTTGTAGATTTAATATCTTGATTATATTTGAGATAAAGTATTGCTTGCATATACATAGATCTTACCAAGACACGATTAATCCGTCACAAAAACGTTGCTTTGTAATCTTATAACGAGCTAAAGTTTTAAAAAGAACAAAAAATATAACAAGGATATAAGGATATGCGGGTGCCCTTTTTCTCTAGCTCTAAGATCTGAAAATCAATCGAAAGCGTTACTGTTTTATCTGTATGAACATATAGGGTGTCTCTAATCAACACTCATGCTCGCTTTTCATATCAGATATTAATGTATTTCAATTGCAAGTGAAATATTTTACTAACAATAAGTGATACAATTAAAATGAATGCCATAAATTCAATAATATATCCTATTCTCAAGATTATATGTCAATACTTCTTGCTTAAATAATAACTTTTCGGCTCTTAAGCAAAATGTTAAATAGATTTCTGTACTATCATTTTACCATATTTTACTGTATTGTTTTATTTGTAAAATTAACAAAGCAAAATTAATTAAAAATAAAAAAGTTTGTTTTCTTAGCAGTTTTCTTATTTTTGTTGCTTATATATTTTACATTATTTTATATAAATAAATATATTTAATATTTATTTAAATTAATTTAATGAAAATTACTTAAAAAAATACAAATTTATTGCACGCGTATAATTTTTCTTGTGTAACATTGCTGAAAATAAATTAAATAATCCACGACACCCTATATGTATATATGGAAACGTTGAGCTATTTGCTCAACGAGTTTGCTGTTCTTTTACTAATTAAAGTCTCATTCTTTGATCTTAAAAGCTCGAGCAAATAGAAGAATCTGTCAATTTTCCGGGCCAATGCTCGATTGCACAGATCTTGAAGAAAGTTCTACTTTTTTGTTGAGTCGTTTTCTTTTTATCTGAATGTCTTGAAAAAAATATTCCGTATGAAACTATTACGAAAAAATCGATATATTGAAAATATCGCGAGAAAAATGGAAATAAAAGTCAAGCGCAATAGTTAAGGTATGTATAATTTATTGTAAATATAAAATTATTACAAATATAAAATTATCAATATCAATAGCGTACGTTTTGATCTCTTTTTTAATCATCTTTTTACAATTAAAAAGGATTTATTATGTATTTATTAATTTATGTAATTGGTTTTTAAATGTAATATTAAATTATTATCTAAATTTAATTTAATTTAATTATGAAGAAGTCTAAAAACGAAAACGTACACTATTTATGTTTTTCATATATATTGTATTATGATTTTATATTTGCAATAATTTTATATTTACAATAAAATGTAAGCATCTTAACTATACTGCGCTTGATTCTTATTACTATTATTTTTTTCTCGATTTGATTATATTTTTTTAGAAGAATCTTTATAATTGTGTTGAATTATCTATTTTTCTTATTATCTTCCTTCCTACTTTTATTTGTTATATTCGATACACTCATTAATAGACAATTAACGCATAAAATATGTGCATTTAAGCAACAAAATACTTCTAAAGCAGAAAAACACATTGAAAAATAAAATAGAGAATTTTGTTAAAAATATTATTTACAATATAAATTATGTTTGAATCAGATATAGAACATAATATATGTAATTTTTATTTTTTCTTATTTTAATATATTTGTTTACTAATAATTTACGATTGTGCTAAAAGTAAATGCTGCGCGTAAAACATTTTTGGATATATACGCGCGTCGCGTGTGCTTAGGAGGAACGATGCGGGAATTAAATAAAGTTATGCAATGATTAAATTAACTGAATATATTCTTTAGTGTAAACGGTACGCGTGAATACATAAACTTGATTCGCTCGGATTAATAAAGTAATGCGTCCGTGCGCGGCGACTATCGAAGACGGTATAACTCGTTATCTAAAAATCTCCTATTTATACCTTGCCTCAAAAACGCCCTTCGCTAGGCTTCAAGAGGCTTCGCGAACTTTCTATCTATTTTTACTTCTTTGTTTCTGTCCTACTCGTCTTTCGTCTCGTCTGTAATATTTTATTTATATTTACTTGTGCCTTTGTCCTTTTCGTATATGTCAGTGTTCGTATTCGTATGCGTGTTTTCCTTATTAATCTCAGGGAAGTATGTGACGATGTAATCGCCACACATTATATCGACTTTATCTGACAGTTTAATAAGAGCACACTCAGGCGTCTTAATTGATAACACAAGAGACATAGCATTCTATAGTACCATTTTCGCGAAATCTCCTCATTTCGCTATTTATTCCATGATAATTATGTAACTTCTCGTGCTGCGCGCATGCTATTTACTGTCTTGCTTTTCTTTGTTGATGTACATTGTTATTACCGCGGGCCATAATCTTAACCAAATCTCGTGAAATTATTGTCGTAAAACAAACGCTACTTGATGGCAAAGTGCGGCAGTATAAACTTATATACACGCGGCAATAAATTTAAATTCCAATTTCGCCAAATGCAGTTCGCAGCATAATACTCTCGAAGACTTCTCCTCGCGCATGCTCATCTGTATCCGAGTAAAATACTTACTATGTTTCTTGGACAATTTAACAATGCTTTTTCTCTTATTGTTATCCGATGAAAACCCAATAAAGATTCTTCAATAAGCTATAACGAGACAATAAAAAATTTTGCTTCATTAACTCATCATTAATAAAATGAACAATTAAATTATTTTTTTTTACATTGAATGTTGCATGGTTTCCTACTTGAAACCTTTTTTTATTTTGAAATTAAATATTAAGAAAGATTAATATATATATAACACAAAAATCATGATCTCATCAGATTTGAGAAAATATAATGTAAAAATATAAATGTTGAAGTATATGATTATTATATCTAGCTTAATCTTTTAGATAATAATTTTACAATAGTATTTTGATTGTGTACACTAGATTTTTTTAATCTACTTGTTCACGACGACATACTAATAATTTTGCTTTGAGATTTATTACACGAGTTTAATTCTCTCAGGAAAAACTGATTGTGAGTGTGAATACAGGAAAAATAAATATGTGCAACTATAATTAGAGTATTGCTAATCGGCGCTTTAGATCCACTTCTAGAAAAAAACTAATGATAAGAGTAAGGCAAGACGAGTAACGAGATCATGATGCTCGATAAGTTCTGACAAGCGCAATTGCGCCCTTCTAGCGGTGCTCGTTTAG